GCAGCTAACATTGGTGCCCAGCATACCTCAATCATGAATCTGAGGATAACGACATCAGTTGCTGCATAATAGACTGACCTACAAATTGCAAGCAAATAAAATCAATAACACACACCAGTAATAAAAAGAAAAAAAAATATTATAAAAAAAGAAGAGATTAACTTCTAAATTCCAAAGATGCGATCTAATTGGCATAATAGATCCAAAAAAAAAAAAAAACATAAAATACACTTCTGTGAACATACCAGATTCACACATTGCATCTCAAATTGACATGGACCATGTAAAGCAAAAGATATATGCTAGTAAAAGTGTTATGACCCATAAAGAGCCAGAAGCCGAATGACCAGTGGCAACAGAAGGTTCATCACCTCAAATAGAATAAGGTTAATTCATGATCTGAGAAAAGAATTTGGACTATAAAGAATCTTTGAAACATAATGGGAAATAACCTACTCAGTTTTACGAGCTTTTTCTTTGAATTGTTCTTGCATACGTCGGATTAAATCATCACTGGTCCCCATATTACTGTCTTCCCCACGCTTCGGGATCACAATATTCAATATACTATCCAAGCCTAAAAGTCTGTTAGAGTTCACAGCCTGTTTTTGTTGGGGTTCCAGATCAACATCTTTCATTTTGATCTCATTTCTAGATATTCTTTCATACAGAGACCTCAAATATTCCTCTGGTACATCTTTTCCATCATCTATGCCACGATTGTTTTTTATGAAATCTTCAGGAGACATCTGCATAACTCAACAAACCAAAAGAAAATAGCTCATACATTGGATCCTAGTCATATGTACATCAACTTATAGATTTAACTAAGCACACCTTGTTTTTCACCATAGGATTGTGAGCATCAGTATTCAGCAATATCACGGAATATGCAAGGACATATGCTGTATCAGCACTAGAAAAGACTTTTGGATTACATTTGCAATATCGCTCTGCAAACTTTTCCATTATTCGATCAATTTTTTGTGCCTCACCAGGAAGTCTAAATCCTTGAAGAAAGACCCTAATTGCCTCATCAAATTCCATCCCTTGAAAGTCAAAAGAATCCACATACGCGTGCATTACTTTCAAGGACAAATCTTCCCTTTCTCCTAGATAATCACCAATCAAAGTCTTGTTCAACCCTGATGCATCTTTAAGAAAAGCAGCTATCTCCTCTGGTGAATTACCCACTTTGTTGGCATTGATGAGGAATTCAATTCCTTTCTTTGGCTTCCTATTAAAAAGTGATATACCTTCCTGCCATAAAGATAGCATTAGCTTCATAGATGTTTAACAGTTGAAGAAATAACGGAGATCTGCTTGCTATTCCAAAATTTATGCATTCGCTTACCTGAAGTTCCAGTTTATAAGCCCGACGTTGCTCAATAGTTGAAACCTCAAATACCTCATTGGATGTCTCAGAATGAGTATCTGATCCTTCAACTGGCTCTTCATTCCCATTTACCATGGGAAGACCTCCAGCTTCATGACCATTATCAACTGCTTCAACTTTCTTGCCTGAATGAGGATCTGGAATGCGCAATTGTTTGTTCATCCAATCTCCCATTGATTTTAAAACAGCAACCAAGCACTTCATGGCTTCAAGTTTTAGTGTTGCCTCTTGAGGTGGCAAAACTGTGGTCGTTACACCAGGAGGGACACCTTGGGCAGTTTTAAGAAGTCCATTTACCATCCTAGGAGGAACATAACAATTAAACATAACTATATACCATACCAAGTGACAATCAAGACAACCACACTGACACCAGCACAAGTAGAGTATAAAATCAATCCAAGAACATGAAATGCTAATAAACTGGGGGTCCATATTGTAAATGTAAAACAAAATAAAGTATTTGTATATAAAATGAAACAAAACATAGCATACCTCTCAAATATGTTTGATGAATTGACATCACAGTCATAATTGATAAAAATGTCCACCAATATCTGTGAATCATCACAAAGCTTCTCTAGAAAACGAAGCACTATCATCTTTTGCTGAAAATTTGGTTGAGCAACATTTTCTAGAACCCTGAGAACAATCATGGGGAAAAATACTCCAATTTCTGCTTTTAATCCAGCTCTAAATCTTGATACCAGACTGATAAAGATGGAACATGATAGCTGAAAAATGATCATAAGAGTTGAAGCACTGTTCTTCAATAATGATAAACATAAGTATTGCTTGATGGCACCCAAAAACCTGCTTCACCACAGTCAATGTAACCATCAGTAGTGTTTTCTATCATCCAGGAAATTTACATGATAAAATAGAAGAAAAAGTGTCCAGTTGTGTCGAAAAGAAAGGATAATGTCACATTTCATAATGAAAGCTTAAAAGAAATTCAAACTGAAAAAAGAAAGATACAATAACGAAGTTCAAGAGGCAGTAGCAAAGGAATAAAAAATCACAACACAGTAATAGTCCATCATATCTCCCATAAAAATATAATAGCACAACACAAATGACATACAATTCATGGTCAACATTTGATGTGATTTGATCCATTACTACATTAACTCCTGATGAAAATCATGAGGTGGTTCTTAAGTAGCACATACACACACAAAAATTATGCTTATAGAATGCAAGATTGAATTTCTCCTTTTAGGCATCATTCCAACACTAATTTGTTAGAACCACCACTCAGAATATCAGGCCTCCTATTTTGAAAGTTTATACGAGAAGATCAAGGAACAAAGGAGGATAAAGATGCACCTTTCAAGGGAATTTAGTTACTGATGTTTATCTTAGGATTTTATCTTCTCTTTTCGGTTTTATCTTATCAGTTTGTTTTTCTATTAAGAACTTACTAGTTGTTATTTAGTTGGTTATCTTGTTAGCCCTTTTGTTTAGGAATCGTTATCTCTTCTTTTTTTCTAGGAATTGTTATCTCTTAGTGTTCCTATTTATAGGATAGCTAGGGGGGGCCTCGAGGGTATGGAGAATTTAATTCCAGTCTTAGGAACAGAGAATACTTTCTCTGCAGGAGCATAGCTCTGGGAAATCAGTGTTTACTGATTGCTGGTCTCTGTACTGTTTCCTCATCGTTCAATATAAGTCCTTTCTTTTCTTTTTTAAAGGGATAGAGTCCTAACATAATTCGTCTACTTTTACTGATAGTGTGAAATAGGAAGACCTTGCTACGCACATGGCAAGCATAGCCAAGTTATTGGAGGCAAGCATAGCCAAGTTCAGACCCTCTAGAGAATTTCATCTTCATGACAACAATTCAAATGATATAATGCAGACGAGAAAGCAAAATTGGAGTTATTGACTTTGACTGAACTTAAACAAAATATTCACATTTAACACCTTCCGATATAGTGTCTAACACAAAATTATCCCTCCAAATTGTCTATCGCCATAATTACACCAAGACAAGGCTTCACCCTGACCAGTAAAACATGCTAACGTTTTGAAGTTTAAACTACATCACAAAAAAGTACAGCAAAACAAGAAATGTGACAAAAAAATAGTATATTAACACAAAACCTAAATTTACCTTTCACTAGTCCTGAATACAGCTCCAGCATTCTCCAGCAAAATCTTCAACAATTCCAAAGCCACAATCTTTCCCTTCATCAACTGTGGGTCAGCAGACGCCTCCTTGGGGGGTGTCTTCATAGACAACTTACAAAGCGCCCTGAACACCAAAAAGGCATCCCTCCTAAGCTTATTCCCAATCTGAATCTCCGAATCATCGTCCCTCTCCACCAACTCCCCATCCACCAGCTCCCCTTTCCTCCCCTCCAACGCAGTCTTGTACATACTAATCTCCCAATACTTGGCATCCAACATGTCCTTGTCACTGGAATCCAGCAAATCTGCCGGATTCGTGGTCTCCACCGTCGCTGTGGTCTCAAACGCGCCATCGTGCCCACTCAATGCCGAAACCTTATTTGGCGTCATAGGATTCAAAACCCCATCAATATCCTGCATAATCCTAGTAATAAAACCCTGCACAAACTGTGTCATGGAATTGTCCTCATCAGATTTTTCCACCGGATCCATCAAATCAGCCACAACAATGGGCTGAACCGGAACCGTGGACGAATCTGCCTCCATTCTCCTAAATACAATCACCAACATCTGAATCAATGACGCCTTCGCCGTCGTCTGATTCACCACATTCTTACTGCCAAGATATATATCATAACAAGTCCTCACAATCAAAAGCAAGCAATCACCATGAATTCGCAAAGAAATCGAAGTTACCGCGGATAAGAGCGTCTTCAACACGAGCAATTCGACGGCGTCGTCACCGATGTCGTGGCACTTGCACACCGATTCGATCAGGCTTGCAAGCAGCTTCGCCTCCGGGGAGCCACCGGCGGAGTCCACCTCGCCGCGGAGGAAGCCATGCGCGATGAGCTTCTGGATGGCGTCGACGGCGGGATCGGCGATCTTCAAGACGCCGGAGGCAGCGGCACTGATGAGAGGATGGAGGATCGATTCGGACTCGGCGAGCGAGTACTCGACGGGACCGCCATCGTGAATCGGACCGGGGACCGAGGCCTCCGGCTCGGCGGCGTCGTCGGAAGGGGGCGATTGGAGATTCTTCGGCGAAGTGAGGGTTTCGATGACGGATTTGCACTCGTGAGCGAGCTTTGCGTGTTTTCGCCACGATGCGTTCTTGATGATTTTCTCGAGCGCGGGAATGAGCACCTGGCTCAGACGGGAATCGGCTTCCGAAGAAGCCATTCCCGAGTTGTGGACGAGTCGCGACTCAGTAACACGGCTGCTTCAACTAGGATCTTACTCCTGTGAGCTAAGAAAACCAGTGGGCGAAGCTCACAGGAAGTTCGACAATGGCAGCGAGTTGACTCGGTGAGTTGCGGGAAGAGGAAGTAGGAAAAGCGAGTTACGTTCAGGATCTAATCTAAAGCATGTTAGCGAGTCATAGCATTGGAAATCACATGATTTTGCTCGCGAGAAGCTTGAAGTTTGGATATGAATTGACCGAAATGCCCTTCATTTCGCTGTGGAATGACCGAAGATCAAAGTGGTCAGGGTTGGGGGTAATTGCGGGTTTAAGAAACTCATTATCTTTATCTATCTTCCGAGTTTGAAGAGTATGCTCAGGTTCATCATATACGACGGAATGACGAGGTATGAATTTTTCAATCCATTTAATTTTTTTGCATCTTCCATTGCTTAGTTTTTATTTATTTAAAATTTCTCGTAGGTTTTATGCCCTGATTCTTGAATTATGCTCTTTCATGTTTTAGGGTTTTAGCTCATTGAATCTCTCTCTCTCTCTTGATATTTGGGAACATAATAACATTTGTTTCAGCATGTTGGCTGCGTTCAACTTCTTATTTTTTAAGGAAGAATCTGTCTTTTTTATTGTGATATTTTGTAGATTTTGTGGCAACAGGGTGCTTGCTTTTTGTGATATGATTCTTCTCATATACTGATTAGATACTTCAACTTCTTATGTTTCTCTCTTTTTTGGTAGCAGCAATATATTTCTCTTGATGGGGTGAATGTCTTAGGAGATAGCAGGTTTTTCTTTCCCTACTATAATGATGGGGACCTATTGCTGTAACCTACTACGCAACTTTTACTACCCAAACTACTCAATAACTAAGGGCATTACCAACTTTAATTGTGTTCCAACCAGAGGAGACTCGTTATTCCAAAAACCCATTTATTTTGATTTCTGTAAACACCATTTTGATTCGGTGTTGGTTGGTGTTGGTATGAAGGAAGTTGTAGAAAAAGAAGTGAGAGAAAATGGCAGGGGGTTTAGATGGGTTGAGGTAGGGGATGATATCACTAAAGAACAAAAGGAGAGCATATCTAAACTTCCTTTTAGGATGGCCAATCGATGTAAGGCCTTGATGAGACAGATTATATGTTTTTCCTTGGAAAAGGGAAACATATCTGATCTCTTGGTGGCATGGGTGAAGATCATGAAGCCTACCAGAGCAGATTGGCTTTCAGTTCTGAAAGAGTTGAGAACAATGGATCATCCTCTGTACCTAGAGGTATTTCACATCTTCTATTCCTTTAATTCAATGGTAGCAATGAGGTTTAAATCTATAACCTTAATGCAATGAAGTTTAAAGCTATAACCCTGTGCAATGAAGTTTTTCTGTGAGGGACAAATTTTGAGGTTGCAAAACTGATTTCCACCTGGACCATCAAAATTTTTTTTTTCCAAATACGGCAATTAACCCCCTCAAACTTCCAAAATTTATATATTTACTTACCCACGGAGTTGTGACTCTAATAAAAATTATAATAAATAATCTTGAATATATATATATCCCTCCATTTTATGGCTCTGTGATCGGTAATTGGATATGGAATTATTCCTCTAGCCATCTAAATATCCTGGCAACACAATTAAACATCTGCCTATTAAATATTGTAGAAGGGAGCAATTTATCTTTGAAAAGAGGTAGAAATTTAAGCATTTTGGTATTTATTCAAATATTTTTCATGGTAAGTGATCATATTTCTTATGCAACTTATTTTGGCTGCTTATGAGTGAAACTTTTTATTTGTGTTACTCCTTACAGTATGAAGTAAAACTGTACATTTATACACCTTAGGTGGCAGAACATGCTCTTCTAGAGGAATCCTTCGAAGCCAATGTTCGTGATTACACAAAGATAATCCATCATTATGGCAAAAACAACAAACTTGAAGATGCTGAAAATATTCTCACAGCCATGGTGCGAAGGGGCTTCGTCTGTGATCAAGTAATTCTGACTACCATGGTTCACATGTACAGCAAGGCTGGCCATCTTGACCGGGCAAAGGAATATTTTGAAGAGATCAAATTGCTTGGTGAACCTTTGGATAAAAGATCATATGGCTCAATGGTCATGGCCTACATCAGGGCTGGAATGCCTGAAGAAGGAGAGAATTTACTTCAAGAAATGGATACACAGGAAATACTGGCTGGAAGTGAAGTTTACAAAGCATTGCTTAGAGCTTACTCAGAGATTGGTAATGCTGAAGGTGCACAAAGGGTATTTGATGCAATTCAGCTGGCTGGTATCCCCCCAGATGATAAGACGTGTAGTCTTCTTGTTAATGCTTATGCCATGGCTGGGCAAAGTCAAAAGGCTCGCATTGCATTCAATAATATGAGAAGAGCAGGTATCAAACCTACTGATAAATGCATAACTTCGTTACTGGTTGCTTTTGAGAAGGAAAGCAAGATAAATACAGCATTAGAATTTCTAATAGATTTGGAGAGGGATGACATTATGGTTGGGGAAGAAGCTTCTGTAGTACTGGCCAGGTGGTTCAGAAAACTAGGGGTAGTGGAAGAGGTGGAGCTTGTTTTAAGAGACTTTGCCACCAATCACCAGATAAGCTAATGTAGAAGTTACTGGATTATAATTTATTTGAAGCTCCGTGACCGTTCTCAATGTATTATAGCCATTATAATATGCAATTATATGAAAATTAATTTTCCATGATGGAAATTAGTTTTCCGGGCTTAGCTCCAAGTTGAACTTGATTAGATCGGACTAAAAAGTTTTAATTTAATTTGGACTCTGAAGTAAAGAATAAGGTTGCACTGAGAAGTTCCATCTATGCAGAGTCTACCAGATTAACATGATACCAATTAGCCTGAGTGCTTGGCTATCTTAAGAGAAATGTGAGATGTAAGACGTATACTGTTTCTTCCTTACTTCCTCTACTGGCAAGACTTGAAGGAATTCCAATTTTCTTAGTTCCATTGCAACATGAACTAAATGTAGTGTGCATTTTCTTGCGTTGAAGGCCTGATAATAAACAGTCTTAGGTTCCTTGAGAGAGAAAAAAAAAAGAATTATTATCTCATTTTCAAGAAGAAAAAGTCTATTTTATTATATAGAAGTTAATTACTGATAATGAATTATGAGTTTAAAAAAAATTAATTTCACACAGTGGGTAGGGAAGAAAAATTGCATATTTTTAAAACATTTTATCCTTGATTTGGAGACGGAAGTTATCCCTTTAACTGCATTCTGAAAAATATCAGAGAAATCTAGTAGGCATTTGCTGAACTTGGGCCTTCTACTCATAACAGGCTTGGACCCTGAAATAATGAAATCATTGTGCTGTTCATTATAGCAAAATGTTTTTCATTGCATCTATCTACATAAACTTGCTTATGCCGAAACTGTATGCCTCTACCAGTGTCTTTAATTAACATTTTCCTAAATTCGTTTTAAGTTTTCTTGTAGTTTCATTTTTGGTTTGTCGCAAATTTTTGTTCACTACCTAAATTCTGAGAATCGGCTTTTGGGATTGATTTCAACTATAGGAATTACTTCTAAAAATTTAACAGATTAAAAACATTTTCGATTGATGGAATTAATATTGAATGGAAGTTCTAAAATTTAAAATAATGTGATATTGAAGTAATATACTTCAATTATTATTTTAAACACACACTCGCACTCCATGTCATGGAAAAAAATAGAATCTCCAATTTTTTTAATGAAAAAATAGGATTTAGTTTTTTTACTAACAAGATAATCTTATTAACGTTTTGCATATCTTAATTGTGACAAGGGGCAGCCTGAGGATTGGAGCTCCAGCTAAAGAAAGGAATTTTTCAATAACTTCGTTCTCTTCCTCTGTATCAGAGATATTAACATGAGTTGGAATTGAGTAGATTCGAAATTTGAAGGTAAAGTAATCAAGTATTGATTATGAGATAATAGACATACTAAGTATTGGGTATTGATTTTGATACGGATATGTTGTCCATTCCAAGAATATATTTAGATCATGCCTACTTTCAGCATGTTAGGCATTGTTTGATCCAGCATGCCTTGTCTCATCAAGTTGATCTTTGTTGGTCTTCTACCTAAAAGGAATGTTACTAACACATTTTTTTTAATACATTCTTAATTGTTGGTTAAATTTATTAAAAAAATTATTATTTTTAAATATAAAAAATAAATATTAATTTAAAATTAAAAAAATAATTATATAATTTTTAATAAATAATTAAAAGTGTGTTAAAAAAAAGTATTGCTAACCTTCATGTGCCCAACTCCACTTTCCATGTGAAGGATATTCATCTTCATTGATATTTTTGTTACAGAAGTCATCATGTTGTTGTCTTCATCTACCTTGTCAATATAAATCTGTTGAAACGTATCCGCAATCCACTTACGGCTTGTCACACGTTTACTTTTTTACATAAAAAATGGATCTGTATCGCATTATTATTGGTCAAAATCATGGTAGTTGAATGATGCAAAAATTTGTCGTTTTTGCATTTTGATTCAAAGAAATGTAAACAAAAGATTCATTTATTAATTTCTTTTTTGGGTCAAACATGTAGAGTTGACTAGAGTAGTCTAAAAGAATAATGCTTTTGAACTATGTTGGAGAGAATTTAATTAGGAGTGACAAGGTGAGTTAATAGATTATCTAAAATGTTAACTAATGTTCTAAAGGTACTGTTTAAAGAATTTTAAGGAAAAAGTTTTATTAAAATGTCATTCTTGCCCTCTCAAAAGACCTAATTCTGTTCCCTTAATTTTATAATTATTATTATTATTGTTCAATCTTACAGCTGACATCTCACAATAGTCAATAGTCATTAGTTTGTGTTAGACAACCAAGTAATGGTGTAACTGTACCACACACATATATTATTCTATTTCTCTTGGAGTTTGGTGGCTATATCAGCTAGCAATGGGGCCACAACAAAATTCAAAAACATAAAGAAATTATGAGAACAAGAGCATGTTTGATTTACTTGTCGTAAAAAATTATACTATAATTTCTCTTTAAAAATTAAAAATTATTTTTAAAAGGTAAATTAAACATACTCTAATTTGTTAGAAAGGATAAAATTCCAATGTGCAAATTAATCTCTTATTCATACATGCATTTATCTACAAAGTTGTTGTTCGCATATATATATATATAGTAAAAAAAAAATTATATTAATGTAAGTTTAAAAATTCTTATACCTATTCTGAACTTTTCACTTAACTTAAATCTAATGAATTATAATTTATTATTTTACTAGTTATTAAATTTAAATTAAATAAAAAACTTAAATTGAGTGTAAATTTTTTAAACTTACACAAATATAAAAAATCATTTTCATATATATATATATATATATATATATATATATATATATATATATATATATATATATATAACTAGCAAACAATGCATGCGTGTCAAAACTATCAAGCCCATTGTATTTAATAATAAAAATAAAGAAAGAATAACGATCATATAAATATCATCACAATTATTATTATAAATCTTTGGTCATTTATTATTGAAATATATATATATATATAAAAGTTCAAACTCCCATGAGTTTAATTTCTATGACCAACCAAAGGAAATACATTAGTCTTCTAAAGTCAAAACATGTTTTAGTTTTTTGGTGACAACATGTTTGATCATTTAGAAAACGAAAGAGACTATGGAGCATTGGAGCTTGACGCAGGATGTGCAGAAGTTGACCCATGTCTACGCAGAACCCCACGTCCCATAGCCTGATGACCACCAGGAGCAGAGGTTGATGGAGCATTAGCCACATATTGACGTGGGTCAATGGCCCTTTGTTGCATGGCCCATGCATTAGGGTGAACCATTGGATCAACAGCTGGAGGTAAATCATAAGCTGCCGGCATTGCCGCGGCGGGGGCAGCTGGTGGATCGGCGACAGCGAAAGCCGGCGGTGCCACCACTCCATGTGGTGGTGGAGGAGGTGCTGGTTGATGAGGAATCTCCAACTGAGCAAATTGGCCTTGTAAGTAAGCGATTTCTGCTTGTAAATTCACCACCTATTGAACAATGGAGCCAGAAAATATTACCACATTTGTTTTTTGAAAAAAATTAAAATAAACCCATTAATCATAATTTGTTTTGTATTTTTCTGTCTCCATCTTATTATAACTGGTGAGGGAAAATTTGTATGAGACTTATGGCTTAATGACACCTGATGCTATTTTCCAAAAACAGTATATACAATTTGATGAAACACTTACATTTTTCGGTTTTTGAAATGACAATAACTTTACTGTGATGCTGAAATTGGAGAATTTGTATTCATATAACAAAGAAAAACATAAAAAAGAAATATATAATAAAATGATTAATATAATATCAACATAGTATAAAATTAATGTGAATAAATCTTACCATTTGATCGGTCAAATACTCTTGTGATGAAATACATTCATAATTAATGATGAAAAAGGTGAGAACCATTTTAATGGTTTAACAATGCAACATTTATGACAATCCTAAATATTTATTTTAATACTTTATAGAAAAAATTAATAAATATAAGTAAACGCTTAACAAAAGAGAGAAACAATAAATACAACTAATGATATGACGTGTAAAATTAATTTAAGACAAATAAAGAAAAATGAAAGCTATTAAATAGATAAAAGTATTATTAAAATATTTACAATTATAATTATTTTTTAAATTTTATATTATCATCTACCTAATAATTTAACAATGCAACCTTACTGACAATCATAAATATTTATTTTAATATTTTAAAAAATTAATAAATGTAAGTAAATACTTAAAGAGAGAGTAAATACAACAAGTGATATGACGTGTAAAATAAATTCGATACAAACAAAGAGAAATAAAAGCTATTAAATAAATGAAAACACTATTAAAGTATTTACAAATTAAAATTATTTTTAAAATTTTATATGATTATGGTGGTGATCCTAAAGCACACCCTATCTATACACCATTTGTGAAAATCGTTTTATGAAAATAATAAAATAAATTTATGAAAATGGTTTTACAAAGAGACAGAGAAAGAAGTAGGAAATTAAAAAGAAACTGACCATCTCCCTAATATCAGCAAGAAGCAAGGAATGAATGGCCCATGCCATAGACTACCCCATTTGTTAATCAAACCAGTTATGAATTTCATTCAAATGCATGCAAACTCTCCCCAAGTTCCATGGCTTCCCAACCCCTACTCTTATACATGCTGTAATTGGGTATGCTATTTAATTAAATTTTTTATGTGAGAGTTTATAATATAAATTTAATTATAAAATTTATTAGAATAAACTAAAAAATGACATATTTTGATAATTTATAAAAATAATCGTTGAAAGAAGTTCTTCTAGATAACTCAATTTTCTTATAATAACTTCTTTTGGAGCTTCTAGCCAACTTAACTTAATACTAATAATAATAATACTAATACTAATAATAATAATAATAATAATAATAATACATTTATTTTACGGTTACAGAAATGAGTTTCAAACTCATCAAAAGTTAATGTGAACATTAATAATTAGAGTTTGATTTCATTTTTTTACTTACTGACTAACAAACAAAACAAAATGAATAGAGACTTTACGTGAGTCACATATAAAGTTTTGCGTTTCTAGCAAGTTTGTCTAAATTAAATAAGTCTTAAAAAGATGAGGGTAAAAATACATTTACACTCCCAATTACCACTTTTAAAATTTCTAATTAAGATACTTATTCTATAATAATAATTAATTATTATTATTATTATTATTATTATTATTATTATTATTATTTTATTATACCTGCTCCTTTTTTATTTATATTACGGTTACAAAATGAATTTTAAAATAATCAAATTTTAACGTGAGTATTAGAAAATAAAATTTCATTTCATTTCATTTTTTACCAACTTCCTAACAACAAAAGAAATTGAGACGTTACATGAGTCATATATAAAGTTTTGCATGACTGGCAAGTTTGTCTAAATTAAGTACTGCCAGAAAAATATATTAAAAAAAAAAAAACTTTACACTGGTAACTGACTAAATTTAAAAAATAACAAAACATTATAACCTAACCATTCCCATGCTTAGGCCAAAAAAATTAACAAGATAGCCAAATTCAAATGCAAGCAATTAAACTCTAAATATATAATCAACATGCTAAACATACATCATTTATATGGTTTAAAAAAATCACTTGCTTAATTAATCATAAATCTATCAAAATTTATAATCAAAATCAATGATTACCTGTTGCTGAAGGGCAAAGATTTGAGAAACACAACCATAAATAGGATCTTTCAGGCGTGATTGTGCTTCATAGCAAACGGTGATGACTGTATCAAGCCTCCTATGCACTGGAGTGCCAGCGAGAAGCTTGGCTACATTACTAGCCCCAAACACCTTGTGCACAGCTGCAAAGTGAGTTGAACCTTGCTCTGCATCAAAGTAAGGAGCAAAGACACAGGTTGCCACACACTTTCTCCTCAAGAATTTGCAAGCACCACAAGGGCTACCGCCACCGCCACCTCCACCACCGCCACCATTGTGATTAGGGTTTAGATTCATCTTTGATGAGAATTTTTTGTATATCTTTGTTTAGGAAGGGTGTTAAAAAGTATGCATTAAATAATTAGGTCAAAAAGCAAAGATCTTGCTAAGACTCATGGCGTAAAGAGAAAGAAAAACAAAAATGGGAGTGTAGAGAAGAAGAAAAGAAATGGTAGTATTTATAGAAAATTAACTATGACATATTTAGTGGTGGGGCGAGTAATTTAATGAAATGAGTTAAGAAGAAAGAGAAAGTCTTTAAAGCGATCCTGTGTTTTAACCTCCATATTTAACTTTTAGTGTGAAGAAAAACGTTGAGATATATATACAAGTAACTAGAAAATATGTTTGTGTGTTGCACAGTTTATTTTTTTTTTAAATTAATTTATTTTAAAATATATAATATATAATTTAAATATAAAAAATATATAAATATAATAAAAAATTTATTTATCAAAATAAATTATTATTTAAAATATGTATAATTTAGTATTTTTTAGTATAAAATAAAATAACATACAAAAATTTTATTTTTAAAATGTAAAAATAAAATTTATATTGTTTCATGATATCATAAATTATTTATTATTATAAAATTTTAAATAAATAATTATAACAATAAATTATTAAATATAATAAATTTTTTAATATATGTTATAAAATTTTAAACACTAACTTCTATTTTTTTTGAATTTAAAGTCTTTTAATAGTTGTAAAGATTTAGACTTCATATTCATAAAATTTTAAAATAAATTATATATATATAAATTAAATATAACATTTGAACTTAATTAAAAATAAAAATATTATATTTTCTTTACTTATTCATTTATTATGATATAAAAATATTAAATATAAAAATAGAATAGTTAAATCATATTCATTTTCATTGTTATGATATTTAGTAATTTTTAATTTATTTTAATTATTATAATTAATTAGTTTTAATTGAAGAGTTTTAAATTTATCATCATCATTATAGCATTTTATAAAAAACATTGCAACAAAATCATTAAGTATAAATATTGTTAATTTTTTAATTTAAAAAAATTAAATTTTTTATCATAATTATTATAATATAAAATATAAATAAAATATTATCTATGTTAACAGGTTATACATAATTTTGATATATCAGTTTCTACTAAATTATTTTCTAAAAAATTAAAATAATAGAAGAGAAAAAAAGAGTAGTTAAAAATTTTCAATTAAGATTTAGGTAGAAACTAAAAGAGAAGAATTGCTACATTTAATATAAAAATTAATTTTTATATCAATTAAATTTATAAATGTTGATATAATATAAAATTTATGAATTACATATAAGATTTGTCTAAGAAAAAGTTAATACATAATATATATAATAATAAAATAAGATAGATATATATAATAAAATAAAAAAATTATCTTATAAAAGACTTAAATGTTTGGTGACATTTTACTTTTCAGACTCTACACAATATTATTAGTATTTATACAACACTGTAATAAAAATGGTTCAATATTCTAAATTCTCTATTGTTGTCTTTTGTTCACAATTTTTTGCTTCTTCCTCCTTAAGTTACAACCTAAAAGAAAATATCAAATATAAATTACTAATCTAAGAAATTTGAACAATACATTATAAATTTATAATTTATACATTAATTTTCTCATTTTTTTTTGGTAAATTTGGTGTTTCTATGGTTAGAGATATATATGAATAACTTATTGCCAAATCATTTTCTTTTATTTTTGCATTTATATTGTCTACTCCTTCTTCCTTTTCAATCTGTAAATATAAACAATGAAAATAAAGTTATTTATCATTGTATTATAAACATTATAAATAAAAGTAATGAAACTCCAATTTAATTTTCTATATTATCTTCACTATCAGCTTCACAATTTTATTTGCAGTGAAACTTTATTTTTTACGACTTTCAAAGTACGTACTCATTTTTTTTTTTAACAATATGTGAAGTGTCAATAATCTTTAAAATTTGTGGAGGCAACTTTAACACTTCACCATTACCTTTAAAAAAATTATCACATAAAAATAGTTATATGTTATAATATATTTTATTTATAAGAAGTTAGAAATTAACACATTTGCTTACAATTTTAGATGTTGCAATAAGATTTGTTAACTTTACTTGTGCTAATTGTTCAACAACTTCATCAAATGAGACAAATATAGTTGAATCTGTAAAATCTTTAACATCAAGCTCAAGACGAAACCTGTAATGTATATAAATTAAGGTAATAATATAAAATTTAATTTATTTTAATATAAAAATTTAAAAATTAGAATACATAGTGATAAATTAATTACCTTGTCATTGGATACTCTGCGTCTTTATAACATTATTCACATTTAAAATTTGTAGTTGTGAAAGAAACTTTCTTCTTGCAATGAGAGTAAGAAATATAATACCAACAATTTTTAAGTATTATATCATTCACAGTTATAATATAACCCATTACGATATTTTGAAAATTAATTAAAAAATTAGTTTAAAACTTAAATAAGAAGAATAAAGTATAAGAGAGATTAAATTTACTATATAACTCTTTGATTTTGCTATTGTCAAGATTTCAGATATGTTTTTGAAATTTCCTAACTTAGGAAAAATAGTAGATATTGTATTATCAACATTGTGAGCCATATGCATATAATTAAAATCTCTTCAACAAAGTGATAATGAATAATTGAAAATGTAGTTAAAATAAAAAGTAAACAATTAGCAATAATTAATGTAACAGAGATATTTTAAATAATTTCAATACTTGAATGAATTTATAAAATGAGTAACTTCTGCTATGTCAATATTGACATAATTCTTTATTGATCTTGATGTGAAAATATAAATATTAACTATAATACATACATTCATATTTTTTATAATTAAATATTATAGTCGTGATATTCACACTTTTATTTTTCATTCATCTATTGTTGAGTTCAGATTGTTAAGAAAAATCTATTTATCTTTATTGAAACTTGTCGTTCTCCTACAACATCATGGAAATATAAAAATAAATAATTACTTGTGATGAATATAAGAAAATAATAAGAGATTTAATACAAATTATTCAATTAAAAATAAGATTCAATACATTATATAATTTAAAAATATTACTTCATGTTTATTTAAAAAAATTAAAATATATAACACAATTTAGTGAAACAAAATAAAAAATATCAAACTTGAAAATACATGTAGATAGGTAATTTTTGATTGCTGACATTGTTGCAAAATACAAAAAAAAAATATGACAATAGAAAGAACGGTGAGCAAGTTTTTAAAAATTATGTAAATATGACTTATATAAGTAGAAAATAAGTCCTTATTTAAGATATATGAAAAGTTAAAAAATAAAATATTAATGTAATAAAAGTTATTTTTTCTTTCAAAATTTACTCTAATAATATAATATATAATATAAAACAATAATTCACATTCAACGTATATTTTAATTTTTAAAATATATATGGAACTATATATTATATTAAACTAATTAATAAGATTATTTAAATATGTAAACTTACCTTTTCATTAGAAATGTAATTTAACAATATATAGTATAAATTAATAATTTTATAAATATTTTAATTTTTGAGATATATATTGAATTATATATTATATTAAACTAATTACTAAAATAATTTAAATATGTAAACTTGCCTTTTCATTTAAAATTTAATTTAATAATATATAATACAAAGTAATAATTTTATAAATGTATTTTTTTATTTACATTATATTTTAGTATTTGAAGTAAATATTGAAATATAAATTAAATTAAACTAATTAATAAAATAATTTAAATATGTAAAAAGAATTTATGAAAAATTTTACTTAATAATATATAATATGAAGTAATAATATTATAAGTGTAATTTTTTAATTCAATGTATATAATATAACTATAAATTCTAATAAATTATTCTTAAATGTATTTCATAATAAGTATAAATCAAATATAATTTTAATTCATAAACTTTGAAAAATGTTGTAGTTAATTTTAATAAATTATAATGTAAGGCAATTTATAGTATAAATATTTACGTTGCCATTTATAACATAATATAACCATCAATTTTAATAAAAAATTTAAATACAATTTATCAAATCTAATAAAGATTCTTTAAATATAATTCAAAGATAATAAATATGAATAAAATATAATTTCAATCAGTAAGTTTTACGTTTCAAATTTTAATGTAGAGAGTAATAATTAGATGCAGTTAATATAAGTGACTTTATAGGTTCTGAATTAATTCTTTAAATAAAATTTGTCAATTCTAATAAAAATTCTTTAAATACAATTCAAAGATAAATAAGTATGAATAAATATAATTTCAATTCATAAGTTATACGTTTTGAATTTTAATGCATAGAGTAATAAGTGAGTGCATATAAGAGTGACTTTATAAGTTTCGAATTTTAATGCATAGAGTAATAAGTAAATGAAATCACATATATAAAAATAACTTTATACATTTCAAAATTTAATGCATAGGGTAATAAGTAAGTGTATAGATAGATGCTAGCAATACATTTTCTAACATATTCTTTGTAATACTCCCTACTATTGGTTAAAATTTATTGAAAATATTACAAAATTTATGTAGTTTCAACGCTAAATTAATAATTTTTATATATTCTTAATTTTCAATAAATTTTAGTCAAAAATTGAGAGTAGGTTAAAAAAATATATTATAAGTATTTTTTATATTAATAATAATCTTATATATATATATATATATATATATATATATATATATATATAGAGGGCAAGATCTTCTTACACCAGTGTAAATATAAAAACTCTTACATTCAATTTTAGTCTTTCATTTAACTTAAATCTAATAGGTTTATAGTTAGGTACATTTAACTTAAATCTATTATGTTTATAATTTATTACTTAACTGGCAGTTAGATTTAATTTAAATAAAAGGTTCAAATTAGATATAAGAGTTTTTAGACTTACACTGGTACAAGAAGATCCTTATATAGTTACAAAATTATTAG